ATGGCTTTCCTCAAGTACACAGCTCTCCTGTGCCTCGTCGGTGAGTTTTATGGAGGGCTAAATTTGTCTTTGTTGCTTTATGGGGTTCTAGTTTCGTCCTTCTTCGTCTTCTTCTTCCCTTCTGTCTCCTCCTTTTTTCACATTTGTATGATCACGTTGGCTTCTTTAAATTCTTTCTTCTCTGTATTCTCCTTTTTCTTCTAAGAATATTAGTAAACTAATGATAAAGATCATAACAATAATAATAACAATTATGATAACGATAACGATGATGATGATGATGATGACGATGACACTGATAATGATAATGATTAATTAGTATAATTCTTTTTATCCATATTTTTTTGCGTCTTCACCTGGATTTTCTTGATTATTTAGCCCCTTATCCTCCGTTTTCTTCATTTTCCTTGTCATGCTCTGCCTCCTCTAGTTCTCCACATTCCTATAAGTCAAGAACCAAGGCTGTGAGGCAAAGCATTAACCTGTGTGTCTCCCACAGGCGTCGCGATCGCTGATTCCAGCAATGCCGAGGAAACTGTCAGGGTGAGTTGTTACTGAGCTGTTGGGGCTGACTGGGCGCAGTAGATAAGCGCGAAAGAGAAGTGCTGTTGCATATCAGACCGTGTGTTCATCGATTTTCTGGTCTTCTTATACATGAACTCACCATTTATTCTGCAGGGGAAGAGAGGCTTCTCCGGAGGCAGCCACACCGGCGGCTACGGAGGGAGCAGCAGCTCCGGCGGCGGCTACGGGAGCGGTGGCGGTGGAGGCTACCTGATCGTCGGCGCCGGAGGAGGCGGAGGCCACCATGGCCCTAGCGCCGCCGACGTAGCCAACCAGGCAGCCGCCCAGGCCACCGCCGCAGCCGCAGGACTCAAGGGCGTGGCCCAGTCGGCTGCCTCTGCTGCTGCCAAGAAGGCTGCCGCGACCGCGTCCGCTGCGGCCCAGACTGCCACTGCTGCGGCGGCCCAGAAGCAGGCGCAGGCAGCACAGATCACACAGGCCGCACAGGGAGCGCAGGCAGCCGCCTTTGCCGAGTCCTCTCTCTCTTCACAAGCCGCTACCGCCGAGCAGTCTGCGAAGGCTGTCTTGAACTTCGCTCAGGGTCTGTCGAATGCAATTTCAGCAGCACAGGCGGAGGCCAAGGCTGTGGCCGCGCAGGCGCTGCAGGCACTGCAGGCAGCCCAGGCGGTGCAGTCGGCACAGGCTGCCATGGCGTGGCAGGCTCAGCAGGCGGCCAACTCCCTGAACCAGCAGCAGTCGCTGGCCCTGAGTGAGCTGCAGTCAGCGCAGGCAGCAGCAGCCCAGGCGCAGGCGGCGGCCTCCAAGGCTCTGGCCAAGGCCAAGGGCGGCGCCTCCGGCTACGGGGGCCAGGCCAGCGGGGGCTACGGCCACTGAGCACGGTAACGGATCCTGGCGTTTGGGAAGATTTTGCTCGTACCTGGAAATACTCTACTTGATATTAGACTTTTAAGCTTCTCGAATATTATGCAATATATAAACCAACAAACGCTTACATATATAATTTTTCACTTAACCTTTATTCTTTTACAAAATTGAAAGGAAGATCAAGATAAAAAGGGTTAAATGCAATAAAAAAAAGTAAATCTCCAAGCACCATAGAATCTACGATGAAGTATCTACTCTCAGCCGATGATTAATTCTTTTAACTCGCACCTTATAAGTTATGTTTACGAAGGTTTCCATACATAGGGAACAGTTATTAGGATTGTCATGGCATTAAGAAAATGGCGCAGTAGTTATAAAGGCAGCTATAGGAAAAACGACAAAAATCCTAGTAGCAATAATGATAATAATGATAACTAGTATGATGCAAAAAGAAAGAAAACATTGATGATTGCAGTTATAATGAGAAATGCTTTGAAAATAACAACTAGAATAAATGCATCAATAATGATAAAAATGCATTCATTAGTACAGCCGATAGAGAGAACAGCAATAGTAATAAAAATCTTAATTTTATCATTAGTGTCGCATTGATAAAAATGAAGATGGAAATGATATTAATCAAATAAAAATGTCTGTTATGGCAGTGGCAGTAATTACAATTATCATCATTAATCAATGATATTAGATTCCATCGTTATCATTTAATGATCTCACACAACTAAACTTTTTATAGTCCATTAACTATCACGTTCTTAGTCATTCCATTTTTAACAAATATCTATCTATCTGCATCGATCTTTTCTCCAAACGTCTTCGCTAATTACAATTCTTGCACGCCATCCTTTCTTTATCTTGCAACATTAACAAGCTTTTAATGTCCCCATGCAATAGCTGTGTGTTGATTCCTATCGTGTGAATTGCAGTGTCGCCAGGACGTCCACCGCCATGTCTGTCTTTGGCGGACTTGACACCTTGCCAGACATTTCTCGTTTTCTTTTTAACGAGAAATTGATACTCTGTTTTTCAACCTTTTCGTGGATGGGGAACGCAGGGTGTCTCTTCTCTTTCTCCTTTTCTTCGTCTTTATCTG